TAAATATATCAAAACACTCTGGATAAATAGAAACATAATATCGGGAAATCTCCATGTATATCTCACACATAAACTAAGATTCACAACTAAGAAACTAATCTGCACAACAGCAGATCAACTATCAATTGTATTAATACAATTTTTTTGTATTTCAAGTTTTTGCCCAGGACTTCACTTTTCCTTTTCTCTGATATCCTGGGATTATGTATTCTATCTATCCATGCTGTTATTTTATTAATATACTTGAAATAGTACCACGTTTCCCCCAAAATAAGACCCAGTCTTATATATTTTTTTTGCCTCCAAAAGAAGAAGTAGGTCTTACTTCAGGGCATGTCTTATTTTTTTCCTGACATCTGCCTCGCTTTGCAACAGGCCCGTCCAGCAGGAGCCCGCTTGACCACTGGCCCACTTTTGTGGCTGCTCATGGCCACTCACAGCAGGCCATGTAGCTTGCTATGCTGTGCTATCACGAGGCGAGGCGGAGGGAGGGGGGGAGCTGAACCAAGCAATTCGCTCTGCTTCCAAGTGCCCCATAGGCACCAAAACACTTTTCGCCCAGATGGAGAAATGACGGAGACTAGAAGCTTTAGTCTGCTTGTAAATGGGGCGGCTGGAAATGGAGCAAATCCCTCGATTTCCAAGCGCCCCATTTGCAAGTAAACAAAGGTTCCAGTCTCCCTTTGGGCGAAAAGTGCACAGCACATCCGGATCGCCTACCTCACCGCCCGCCTCTGCCTCCACGCTGGACTTACCTGCATTGCTCCAAGGAGCCGACGGGTTACGGCTGCCATATACCGTCGGCCTCTGTGCGCTTGTTGCCACTTGTGCTGCCCACGCCCACCCCCAGGCTTATTTTTGAGGTAGGGCTTATATTAGCCCCAACCCAAAAAATCCGGCTAAGGCTTATTTTCAGGGTGGGTCTTATTTTCGGGGAAATACGGTAATAGACAACCTATGATCAACATATGATTATTCAGCATTCCTTTTATAATTCCACAAAACCCTCAACGCAACCCCAAAATAGTGGGATCAAAATTTCCCCTTTTGGAGTTAATCTGGGAATTTTCTTCATGGCTTAAAATAAAACTCTATTCTAAGAACTTGAGAGGAATGGAGAAGGAATTTAATAATACTCTAAGAATTAGCCAGTTTGTTCCAAATCATTTTTTCTTTCAGGTCTTTGAAATGAAATGAAATAGATACTTTTAAGTACATTAAATTATTTATAAAGTAATGGTCTTTTTATTCTGCTTTTTCAAAAGCTCACCCCCAAATCAGAAAGTTTATTAAAATACTTTGCATCTTTCATATTTTCATTTCCTATTAAAGTCAGCTGTAGGGGGGATTTAGATCAGTCTGTAATAGATATTTTTAAATTGTAAATAATTTTGCTCCCTCCAAAACTAAGTAAATGCAATGTACCTTTCCACATTAAAATGAACTATACTTTGAAAAACTATTCTTATTCAAGAGCGCCCTCTAGAGAATAATGACGTAATTGTCTCTACATTTCCAGATTACCTTCCTTGATAAATGTTTTAAAACTGGTGGTTTGCAACGGAATCCTAAATGGAATTCAGAAGAAAAAAGTGGAAGAATAATGTCTTCTCCTAATCCTGTTGTTTCATGTTAACTTGGTAGAGTTTTATTTTCCCCTTGCCAGTTGAGATACTAGGAAAATTAACTACTGTATATCAGGATCTATGTCATTTTACTTGGAAAAAACAAACTTAGAACAATGTGATAGGTTCAGTCTAGCATTTACCATGCTTTATTTACTTATACATTTATACATTGTTGGTAGACTATGACTCAAAAACCAAGTAAGTTAAAAAACTGTATGACTACTTGGATTAACCTACTTGGTTAAAACCTACTTGGCTTGCCTTCAGATTTTGTGGGTGCTCCATCACTGGAGGCTTTTAAGAAGGAACTGAATAGCCATTTGTCTGAAATGGTATAGGGCCGTGGTGGTGAACCTATGGCATGCGGGCCACAGGTGGCACGCAGAGCCCTCTCTGTGAGCACGTGCGCCATCCTAGGCCTTCAGTGAGGTTTTGTAAAACCTTTTCGCTTTAGGCCTCTGCCGCCATGTGCAAAAAAAAAAAGTTCAATCAATCGAATTCAACTTCTCGCGGGAAAAAAAGATCTCGCAAAATTGGAATTGATTGATTGAACTTTTTAGTCCCACCCAGTCTGCCGTTACCCCCGCAGCCATGCCCACAACTGGCCACACCCACCCAATGGGCCGTGCCCACCCAGCACCCGACCATACATAAGTGGGTTTTGGGTTGCAGTTTGGGCACTCGGTCTCTAAAAGGTTCGCCATCACTGGTATAGGGTCTCTTGCTTGAACTGGGTTTTGGACTAGATCTCCAAGGTCCTTTCCACTCCATTATTCTGTATTCTGAGTTAATGAATGCTGAATTTAGATTCCAGAAACAATAACATTTTACTTAGTTAGAGTATTCTCCCAGTTATTGTATGGAATCCACATAAAATTGCACTTCAATTTTGTCTTTTTAGAATTAGTTCAGTCTAATTTATTTCAGATTTCTTGAAATGTTCCATATGCAGATCTGAAAAGGGAAGCTGGAGTACTAAAAATAAAGAGCATTAATGGAGTCTTCCTTCTACTTCTTTAAAAAAATAATTCTGTCCAGTTGGATTAAGTCCCCTGTACCCTGTATTGGGTGATGCATCATACACTGGATAGTGATGATGGAAAAACAACTTCATTCACTAGGGCTATCTTGAGAATTCCTCTACATTCCAAGGTATGATCAGGCAGGCAAAATAAAAGTTCATATATATTGGGCATAGAATGTCAAACCAATTGTGCTTCTTTATCCAAATACCATTTTTACGCAGCCCTGCTCTTAATGTGAAACCAGAGAGCTGTCTGAAACATGTATCTAACTTCATATATCTTTTATTCCAGATCATTCTGATACCTTGCTGGTCCTAGAAGGACAATTTAAAATAATCCTTTATAATGACCAATTAAACCCTGTGGGTCAAACACACTGGAATCCTCAACTCTTAATTAGTTATATTGTCTCTTCTATGAAGATATTAGAAATAGGCATTTTATACTCTATTTATTGGACTTTCCAGAATGTTCAAACTATTTCTACGTTCAACTATTGCTGGAGGACCGGTAAGATTCAATCTTTGGCATTAGCCAAATTCCATTACATTGCTTTCAAGATCAGAAGTCATTTTTATCCAGTAACAGAAATACACTATCCCTATATAGTTATTTTATTTTTCTGTTTTTTATACTATGCTTCACTTGGAAAGTACATTTTTCTTAGTCTATGATCATAAATTGAATAAGCAAACATACCGATTGCTAAAACGGCCTGTTGATTTTCTAAAAATTATTGGAAATGCAATGACCAGATTGGAACATTTTTTTCCATATTTAGTGGCAAAAGTGTAACACTCGACAATTTTGGAAAATAATAGGCAACAGAATGAAACACATTTTAAAAATCTAATTTCATTTCCAACCTGTTTTCTACTCTACTATTTTGCTAAATCTTACATTCCCACAAAGTATACCGAATTAGTTCTGTAGATGGTAACAGGTGCAAGGCTATCTTTACACTCCCAATTGGAAAGTATAGTTCTTTCTCCAGACAAATGACTCATTCAGCTCTGTCAGTGTGCTTCGATGTCCAACATAACTTTGTATTTAAAAGTAAGCGTGACACAAAATTTAATTCAACTTGGAAACAATTTTTTCTTTTTATCACTCTCTCTCTCAACAGCTTTCAGTGCCAACAAACAGAGAATTCTATTGGGCCGGCTTAAGGAACTGGGATGGCAGGCACTGTTTTGTGTAGTTCTTTGTATGTGCTCAGCTTCAATCAGTGTTGAGAAGGGTGAGAGGTCATGCCCGCAGCTGGTCACCTATACAATTAGGTGCTACAGAGCTGGACTCTCCCCTTTTTTCTCTCCCATCTATATGTAACTGCTGGGTGAGAAGAACCGACCTCTCTACTCGGGGTAGACCAGTGTTTCTCAACCTTGACAATTTTAAGGCATGTGGACTTCAACTCCCAGAATTCCACAGCCAGCATTGCTGGCTGTGGAATTCTGGGAGTTGAAGTCCACATGCCTTAAAATTGTCAAGGTTGAGAAACACTGGGGTAGACCAAGTGAGCCATCAAAGTCCCACCAGTGCTTGAAGGCTCTTTGGGCCTGAGGAACAGAGGCTCCATCCTGACAATAGCAACTGGATTTGTTTCTTTGATCCTTCTGGCCAGGGCACAACGGTAAAAAATCAGAAAATATCAAAATAAAAATAATAAAAGAAATCAAAATGAACGGGCAAAACCAGCATATAATCAAAACTTCATTGAGGCTGGCAATACTAACATTGAACCTTAGCACAAAACTCATCTATCACCCGGGTCCATCACATGGGGGGGGGGGGAATCGGTGGTTTGCGGCTGTACTGAAGGCCAACAGAATTACCGCCATCCGAACCTTGCGGGGGGGGGGCAGTCCCAGAATTCCCTGGTTCAACCTTGGCTCTTTTATGACTCGTGGACTTCAACTCCCAGAATTCCTGAGCCAGCCTGGCTCAGCTTGGAAACCTCTCCCTTTCCCCTCAGCGTGGCTGGCTCAGGAATTCTGGGAGTTGAAGTCCACCAGTCATAAAAGAGCCAAGGTTGCCTACCCCCTGTTCTATACGGATGATACTTCCGGCTAACCGGAGAACAGGAAATGCCGGCTTGCATGGTAACCGCTGTCGCCTAGCAACTCCTGTTTCTGTCTTTCCCCCCCCCCCGCGCGCCTCCTCCGCTTAGGAGCGGCCAGTTTTCCCTCGTAGGACCAATAGTACCTTAGACCACGCCCATCTCTTTCCGCCCATTCCTTTCTACCTCCAACGCCGCCTCCTCTCCTCAGCGAACACCACGTCTACAAACGACCACTCCCGGAAGTACTTCGGTCTTCGTCTTCGATTGGACTCCGTTCACTTCCGGGTCGCCTCTTCCGTTTTCGCCCTCCCCTTCTCGGACGGCCACGCCGCAAGTGGAAGCCGGCGCGTCTTCGGCTACCTGGCAGGTAAGATTTTTGGTTCCCCCCCCACCCCGCCCCAGGGAGTCCCTCGTTCCCGGGGTACTCGGTTGCGTGGGTGGGTGGGCCTGGCGATTTCCCCTTCCGGCCCGGGCGCTCATTCGGCTTCCTCTTCCATCTCAGCTTCGCCTTCCGTGCTTGTGGTCGAGTCCCCGGTCTGGGAGATGTTGCTGCGGCGCTGTCCGGGCTCTGGTGCCTGCGGAGGCTCGTTGGCGGCGGGGTTGTTGCTGCTGCTGCACCTCAGCTGGGCGGTCCGGGCCTCGGAGATTACCTTCGAATTGCCCGACAATGCCAAGCAGTGCTTCTACGAGGAGATCGTGCAGGGCACCAAGTGCACCTTGGAGTTTCAGGTAAGGGGATGTGGCGGCGCCACAGAGGCGAGTGGGGCGCCCTCCCACCCGCAGAACAACCCTTACGTTTGCCTGCCTCAAAGCAAAGGTGCTTTTTCACCAGGCAGCTGGACTTCCTTGTTTTTTTTCCTTCCAAGACGTTTGGCTTCTCATGCAAGAAGCAAAAGGTCTTCCAAGAAAAAAAACAAAACAAAACCCAAGAAAGTCCAGTTGCCTCGTGGAAAAAGCACCTTTGGGAAAACTGTGGCTTGGATGACTGAGAACCTCCGTAGACGTTTTACCCTTGTGTGGAATCAAACAGGACTGATTAGGCGGCGGCAGAAGAGGATTTTCAGGAAATTGCAGAAAATTCTGCAGAGTCACTTCGGGAAGTTCCACGCTGAGGTATTGCCCCCATTGATAGTCTCACCTAACCGACCTTCCTTTTAGTATAGATCAGTGGTTCTCAACCTTTTTAATGCCGTGACCCCCCCAACCGGTTGTAAGTCGAGGACTAAACCGGTCGTAAGTCGAGGACTAAACCGGTCGTAAGTCGAGGACTACCCAACCGGTCGTAAGTCGAGGACTTTCCCTGCCCGGGAGCGCCGCACATGCATGGTTCCGCCCCCTGCACCGGCCGAGGCATAGCTGGCAAGCGGCAGAGACGGAGCAGGCCGACCACCAGCTGGCCCAGCTCAAGGGAGGTAAGGCACCCGCTGGAAAAGGGGAAAAAAATGGCGGACAGCCTTGCTTGGCGACCCCCATGAAATGGTCGATCGACCCCAAATGGGGTCGCGACCCATAGGTTGAGAACCGCTGGTATAGATATTCATCTTGTCCCCCCCCTTCTCCCCCCCACGCTTCTGCTCTGTCATATTTCTCATGGACCTTTTAGTTTTGAGCCTGCTTCTTTTATATATTGTAATTCTAAATCTAAGTGCTGTGGCTAGTGCTATTGTATACCTGTACTGGGTGTGGTTTTAAATACACATAAAACTATTCCTAGCTAGTTTTATCTTGAAAGTTGTACGTGGAACTGTATCTGTTGCTTGCAGCGGTATGGTGAAACTGGTGACCAGGGTCTTTTTCTGGTTTTTATAGGTAATTATTTGATTTTCAAACCATCAGGTGCATGCTGTTGTTAAATGTCTGTTTTGTGCAATGTGCAAAGGAAGTGAAGTTGTATGATTTTCACTTAAAAGAAGAAAATATATAGAAAATAATTTGGCCGTATAAGCTCTAAAATATATGCAATAAATAATACAGGTAAATAAAGTACATATAGCTTACATAGAAGATGCATATATCAGCAGCAACAATTTCATTCTGAAAATGAATAAGGAAATAATTTTCTGTGTGCCATCAAATCAACATCTCCATTGAAAGCAAGGTTCCATGTATATTGCTATTTTAAAAAATAGATTATAAACTCTGTAGACAAAATGTGTTATTGTATTTCTGGAATACGGTATTGAAATGGAGCTGTGCTGTATGGCGATTAAAGGCATGGACCATATGTTATCTAAAATATGAAGAATATATTTGCTATCCAACTTGAATGATGATTCATCTCATTGTTCAACAGAAACAAAGGAAGTACTATTTTTGTGCAATTGGTTTGGCTTCACTGATCCTAAACAAACTATACAACAGTGTCTGATTTAGCAACATTAGGTTATCATGCTGTCTACTTCTTCATCTTGGTGAGGTGTAGAATGCTATTTCCAACTATGTTTCCATCTTTTAGTCCTAGTATCAGGACCAAATATTTGGAATGTTATTCTCATTTAACTTGATGACTTCAGATAATATTTCATATTATCAAGATTTAGGGAAACAAATTGAAACAGTAAATAACTATTTGAAAACGATCCATAGAGCAAGATGTTTAAGAGATTTTGGTACAGAGAACTGATGATAAAAATGAACTGTATAATTTTATCTATAGCACTAGCTCAGGAATCCAGTCATATGTTTTAGGAATCAAGATACCGGATCATTGTTGCTGGGAAGAAAATCATGTCTACATAGACTGAATATAAATGTACATTCATTATTTCAGCAAATATATTACCATAAGAATTACTGAGTTATATATGGAAAAACAAGGATATAACAGTTATAGTTGGTTAAAAAATTTAATGTCGTCATCGTCGTTACTATTATTATTTAATTACCCTGACATGGACTGGGAGATAAACTCTGCACCAAGTGGAAGATCAAACAGATTCCTGACAAACCTAGCAGACAACTTTATCCCCCAAAAAGTAGAGAAGGGAACCAGGGGATCAGCCATATTGGACTTAATTCTTACTAACAGAGATGAAATGATAGAAGGTGTTGAAGCCACAGGAATCTTGGGGGGGGGGGAGTGACTATGCAATATTGGAATTCAACATTATGAAAGCACAAGCAATACAACATAGTCAAACTAGAGAGAGCTTGGGAAGGATTCCATGGATGAGAATTCTCAAGGGGAAAACAACTTAAGAAGCTTGGAACATTTTGAAAAGTGAGATTATAAAAGCCCAGTCTAGCATAATATCAACGAAGAAGAAAAATAACAGCTCTCAAAAGAAACCAGCATGCTGCATAAAGAACTCTCTGATAAATTGAAAGACAAAAAGGTCAAGAATAAAAAGTGGAAAGAGGGACACATAACTAAGGCAGAATATCATTAAATAGCCCAAGCCTGCAAAGATGAAGTGAGGAAAACTAAGGCTCAAAACAAACTAAGGCTTGCAACAAAAATAAAAAATAACAAAAAAAGCTTCTTTCAACATGTAAAAAAACAAGAAAAAAGTTAAGGAAATGATTGGTCCATTAGTGAGAGAAAGTGGCAAGAAGGTGACAAGAAACAGGGAGAAAGCAGAACTACTTAACTCGTTTTTTGCATCAGTCTTTACACAAAGGAAAAACAGTCCAACCTATAAAAGACAGTACCGTAAAAAACAGATTAGAAACACAAGTTAGGCAAGATAATGGTAAGTTCAAATCATCAGGACCAGATGGATTACACCCCAAGGTGCTGAAGGCACTGGCAGATGTGATCTCAGGACCCATGAACTATATCTTTCAAAGATCTGGAGCACTGGGGAACTATCAGAGGCCTGGAAAAGAGCTGATATAGTTCCCATCTTCAAAAAAAGGGGGGGGAAATGGATCCAGGAAACTACAAACCTATCAGCCCGACCTCAATACCTGGGAAGATTCTGGAAAAGATAAGCAACGAATCAGCAAACACCTAAGAGGCAAACAAAGTCATTACCAAAAGCCAAGATGGGTTTGTCAAAAACAGATCATGCCAGACAAATCTTATTGCATTCTTTGACCAAGTGACAAAATTAGTGGACCAGAGGAATGCTGTGGATATAATTTACTTGGACTTCAGTAAGGCATTTGATAAAGTACACCACAACGTACTACTTGATAAGATAGAAAAATGTGGGTTAGACAGCATCACCACCAGATGGATTCGTAGCTGGCTGACCGGCTGTACTCAGCGTGTGGTCCTCAATGAAACTGCATCTACGTGGAGGGAAGTGTGTAGTGGAGTGCCCTAGGGCTCTGTTCTGGGCCCAGTGCTCTTCAACATCTTCATCAATGATTTGGATGAAGGGATAGATGGGAAACTCATCAAATTTTCAGACACTAGTCTGGCAGGAATAGCCAACACTTCAGAAGATAGGCTTAAGATACAGAAAGATCTTGACAGACTTGAACATTGGGTGCTCTCTAACAAAATGAAATTCAGTGGTGAAAAAAGTAAGGTTCTACATTTAGGCAAGAAAAACCAAATGCATAGGTATAGTATAGGTGGTACCTTGCTCAATAGTAGTAACTGTAAGAGGGATCTTGGAGTTCTAGTGGACAATCACTTAAATATGAGCCAGCAATGTGCTGCAGCTGCCAAAAAAGCCAACACAGTGCTGGGCTGCATTAACAGAGGGATAGAATCAAGATCACGTGAAGTGTTAATACCACTTTACAATGCCTTGGTAAGGCCTCACTTGGAATACTGCATCCAGTTTTGGTCACCACGATGTAAAAAAGATGTTGAGACACTAGAAAGAGTACAGAGAAGAGCAACAAAGATGATTAGGGGACTGGAGGCTAAAGCATATAAGGAACGGCTGCTGGAATTGGGTATGTCTAGTTTAATGAAGAGAAGGACTAAGGGTGACATGATAGCAGTGTTCCAATATCTCAGGGGTTGCCACAAAGAAGTCAAGCTATTCTCCAAAGCACCTGAAGGCAGGACAAGAAGCAACAGATGGAAACTAATCAAAGAGATGATACAACAACAACAACAACAACAACAACAATAATAATAATAATAATAATAATAATAATAATAATAATAATAAAAATAGAGTTGCAAGGGACCTTGGAGGTCAACTAATCCAACCCCCTGCTCAGGCAGGAAACCCTATAACATTTCAGACAAATAGTTGTCCAGTCTCTTTAAAACTTCCAAAGTTGGAGCATTCACAACTTCTGAAGGCAGGTTTTTCCACTTATTAATTGTTCTAACTGTCAGGAAATTTCTCCCTAGTTCTAGGTTGCTTTTCTCTTTGGTTAGTTTCCATCCATTGCTTCTTGTCCTGCCTTCAGGTGCTTTGGAGAATAGCTTGACTTCTTTGTGGTAACCCCTGAAATATTGGAACACTGCTATCATGTTACCCCTAGTCCTTCTCTTCATTAAACTAGGTATTTCTCTTCTTGTAAGTAGGTACTTTTCAGTTCTGCAATTCTCAACCTAACCTGTTACTTGAGTAGATAGTTGGCTGGTATTTTTGTTGATGTCTATGTATGTCCTGGGATTCAGGACAATATTTTGAATGTTTATTTTATTGTTAATAGTCTCTTTATGCAAAGAAGAACATTTCCTCTAGTAGAATACCAGAAATAAAATGCTTACCAATAATGCTGGCTATGCGTCCCATATTTCTATCTGAAATGGGATGATTTTATCCTTTTTGAGGAGCCTCCCTAACATTGATCCTTTTGCCATCATATTGTTTTTTATGGAAATGTTGCTATTACCTGATATTAAGTTTCTTATCTGAAATTCTGATATAAGAGGTGTATAAGAATCTTGGAAATAGAATTAATTTTCTTTTATTACTTTGCTTTTCCCAAAATACTGGTCACAGTGTTTCTTATGTTTATACCATTGATCTACTGTTTATCCCTGCTTTTATATATGAGCATTATTTCTTTGTTAGTGTTTACATTCATTATTGCACATTAAAGTGCATTTTCTCTTAACCAGGTAACTAGAAAGATGTTCTGCCTTTCTGCCTGCCATGTAATAAAACTTAACGACATTGTTGAAATTAAAACATCAAAATATATATAATCTCAGTTGTATACAACTGTTTAACTGCTTGGGAAAAGTGAACTATGGAGATTTCCCTTGGAAAGTTCCATATTTGTAATTCTACTACTGAAAAAGATTTGCATGTGCCCATCTACCCAGAATATGAATTTTAGTGCAGTTCAGAGAAGGGGAGTACCACAGGTAAGAGGAAATTCTATTGCAAATAAATTGGCAAGGACTTAATAAGAAAATATAACCATCATTAGACCCAGCATTCTTAATAGGAAAGGAATACCAGTTGACTCTTTCAGAGAAAGACTATGAAACCAGAAGAGAGGATGAATAGAATGGAATATCATGATTATAAGCAATTTGTATCTATAACTCTATCTTGAAGTCCAAACTATAATAATCTAAATAGGTACTCTTAACTGCAGGATTTCCAAAAATGCTAGCCACGGTCTCTGGAGTCGAAATTCTGCAGTTCTAATCTTGCTGTGTATTTCCATCCTTTTGCTATGATGTTCCATGCTTCTTATTTCAGGCTTTGTAACTCTGATGCTGCTTGTTCAGCTGTCAGCAATAGGTATTGAATGTTGACATAGTTTCTCTTGGTTTCAGCATGGATTATTTGTGGATAACCTATTCTAGAAGAGAATGAATTGTATGCATTCATGAAAGTATACTTAAGGTGAAGAAAAATACTTAATGTACATAATCTATTTTTATTAGAGCTTTCAAAAGTTTGCTTTGCTGAATGTAACTTGTGTTATCTAGCGTGATCATTATACATCATGATATAAAATATTACTCCACAACACTTTAATCTTAATCTTCAGTGTTGTCAATGCATTGTTACAAACTACATGGATTTGGTTTCTATCAAAAGAACCATCTGTTTCATGAACTTGTAGTAAGATCTCTCATAAGTGATATGGAGATAACCGTGTCTTTTTACCTCCAGCTGCTGATTCCTTTACACTAATTATTTTGTAGGTCTAGTAACTTTGTATCATATTTTTAAAGAATGTTAACGTATGCTAGGCAAAATAGCAAAAGCTGCCCTATTCTTTCATAACAATATCTCCGTACTAAGCCAAAAGCCTTCCAACAATGAAAAGGAACCCTCTGTTCATGAAAATTTATCTTTTAGTAAGGTCTGCTGATTTTACATACATAGGAGATTGTGTTTGTGCGTGTACAAGATGAAGGGGCTTCCTCAGTTTAGAGAATGAAGAACTTTTTCAGAAGTGCTGCAGGTTTTAATGTTCTTCTTTTCTTTTGTATTTTTCATTGATTGCATGCTGTCAAATCAGTTTTGACTCTTAGTGACTTCATAGATAGAATTTTTCCAGGATCATTTGTCACCCATTTGGCCTTTCATCTCTTCCAACAGGTGCTGTAATGAAAACTATATACCTTGCTGCTGGTCATCCTCTTTTCTTTCACTAAAATGCAAAGCCTATGTCAGTCTTTAATAAATGCACATCTAGTTTTGGATATTATATGATAGGATTTTATCTATAGTAGTAAGAAGTTCAAAACTGTGGCCTTAATGGTTTTAACAACTGTCACACAATTTGAATAGTTATTCTTAAGTGTTGTGTTTTCATGTTAACTTGATAACTTTTATGGTTATTTTTCCATTATTATTTGGTCCAAACAGTTACTACAAATGCAAAAATATGTGAAATGCAACAAAATGTTTTAAGTTGCCTTGAATTAGTTGTGATCGCAATATACTTAATTTCCCTTACTGATGTTTTTAACAATGTGCTGTTTAGTATATTTGCTTTGTAAAGATTCTTCTTTAACTGATAAGAATAGGATCAGTGACTATTGTTCCAAATACCAGTTTTCTTTATTCCACAGGTGATTACTGGAGGACACTATGATGTTGATTGCCGCTTAGAAGATCCAGATGGGATTGTGCTATATAAAGAAATGAAGAAACAATATGATAGTTTTACCTTTACCGCATCTAGAAATGGAACATACAAATTTTGTTTCAGCAATGAGTTTTCAACTTTCACACACAAAACAGTATACTTTGATTTTCAAGTTGGAGATGACCCACCTCTCTTTCCTAGTGAAAACAGAGTCACTGCACTCACTCAGGTATGGTGAATTTTGAGTACACAGTAATGTACTGTCTTTATCCTAAAGTTTACTAGAACCAGTTTACAGTTATTCAGAAATGTTATTTTTGTCTAGTAGCATGATCACATGGCCATTCAATTGAGTGACATTCTCACTTGATCAACAATGGGAATACAAGGGAGAATGGCAGTTGTCATCTTTTCATTTACACAACTAAATATTTTTGTATTAATATTGTAAACTGTAACTTGATATTGCTTGAGTGGTTTGTAAAGACCTCTGAATTTTAAATTCCATTGCAATAATTCATTTTTTTCCCAATTGGCAAACATGAAATGTGAAATAATAGTGCCAACATGAATGAAAGGCGGGATAAGAAGGCAGATGAAAACATCAGATCTCTGCAGCTTCTAATAGCACTTTAGTATCAGCTGACTTCTGAGAAGGAACAAACAAGTGAATAAAGGCAACAAAAGCCTTGGCTATTATTGTGTAAAAAACGCCCTAAAGTGTATTTTTTTTACTGCAGCCCAATAGGAAGACCTGCAAACCTCCAGTTATTGTTAACTGCAACTTATAGCATCCATCATTGTTGATCAGGGACTCTGAAACTGCTACTTAAGTAACATCTTTGTATCAGCAGAGCAGCTTTTGTCAGTAGTACTGAGATGGGCTCAATCCTTTCTCCTATATCATTCCATTTCCAAACTACCATTTAGAGCAGACATGTCAAACTCATGATGTCATGTGACGTCGCGCGACATATCGGAGCTTTTTTTCCCCATTGCTGTCAGGAGGGGTGCGGTTTCGTCGTGACGCGTCTGGCCCATGGGCTGGCAGTTTGACACCCCTGATTGGAAGGAATCTCCTGAGTTATTCAAGGGAAAGAGGTTAGAGGAGTTGAGCAAATAGTTCATATGATTGTAGAGTTCATTATAGATATGCATGTTTCATTTTAGGATCTCAGTAATAAAATTATTAAATTTAAATAGAGTTAAAATTCAAAAGCTTTCAATATATAGTTTGATTCAGGTTCTGACATTTTTGTTGCTGACTGACAACAGTTTCTATATTGAGAGAAAGACTTGGTAATTGCTCTCTTTTATTAAAAATATTTTTGGAATTGATTATTTTTATTCTAAGTAAAAGGACAAGTAACTAGATCAATACTGTATTACAATAATGTGATTCTGAAAAACAATCTTTTCAATTTTTATAAAACTCTACTTGTTTTATCTATATGCTATGGTAAAATATGATTTAAAGTTTTATATTTCCAGAAGGTTCTATTTCTGTTTTATTAATAGTGATTAGATTTCAGTCTGTTTTACTCATCTGTGCTCTATTTTTCTGTCTCTAGATGGAGTCAGCATGTGTTTCAATTCATGAAGCTCTAAAATCCGTCATTGATTATCAGACACATTTTCGACTGAGGGAAGCACAAGGCCGTAGCCGAGCAGAAGACTTAAACACACGAGTGGCTTATTGGTCAATAGGCGAAGCCATCATTCTGCTTGTAGTTAGCATTGGGCAGGTATTTCTTCTCAAAAGCTTCTTCTCTGACAAAAGAACCACTACAACTCGTGTTGGATCATAACAAGCTTCATATCCATTGTTTGAAAAATATACTATTATTTGAATGAGTTCTAGTTAAAGAACAATTAAGTACAGGGAACATTTTAAATACCTTTAGCCTTCTCACTTCAAAGTTCTGAAATTCATACTCCCAAAAGCTGTCACAGAAAAAAAAAAGACAGCCTTTTATTTGTTATACAGTGGGGTTTTCTTTTGCATCTGCTGAGAAATCTAATAGTTGCTATTTTTTTAACAAATGAGACTTGTTTGTAAGTACTTAGTGCTTTAAGAAAATCCTTTAAGTAGTTAATTAAAAGATTGTCCTTATGAATGAAAAAAAAGCCTGACCTTGCAAGTTAAAGCATTGAAATGAAAACTAAAACACATAATTAACAATAGTCTCAAAGTCTTGTACTGCACTGTTTTGACTGTCTATGGAAATTCTAGGGTCTTGAATCATTTATTGGGGTGTATATAGATATATAGATATATATTATTTTACTCTTACCAATTTTAGAGTCCTGGGGAAAAACAATTTCCTATGCATTGAAAGGTTATCATTTTTGCATTTTGCTTTTTAAATTAAATAATGGGGAAAATGCCTTCTAATTCTTGAAGCTGAGTCTTTGAGTGTTGCTGTTGCTGCTGCCTTGAGAACTAAATCAGTCAGCTTTGACACGAACCATATAAATTTTAGGAATCTGATGTTTTCACTTTCACTTGAACTTGATAGGACTAAGTAAAAATGCACTGATTTAAGTAACTTGCAGCTAAAATTTAGCCTTGTAGTCTCTAATATTAAATCAGAGCTGTTCAACCGTATGCCCTTTAGATGTTTGTAACTATAATTCCCATAAGTTTTAAAGACGGTCAGTAATCATGGGAGTTACAGTCCAAGAGATCTGGAGACTGCCATGTTAAATAAGATAAGATTGCAGGGCCATAAGTGGCTCGAGGGTTTTGATCTAAATAATTGATTTATTAAGCAATGTATGCAGATGCTGGATGTATGTGGATTAAATTGCTGATTAAACATTCTAAATTGATGGGGACAGTTTCTCCTGTGTGCTTACAGTACTGTATTACCCTATCCTACCAGTTTTATGCTTAAAGGCTACTTTTTGAAGTAGCTCACAAGATTTGGGAGAATGAGGGATTTTGCTATATAATTGCTAGTTCTATTATACCTGCTTTCCAATATCCCAAATGCTTTTAGGGGTTTTTAAGATTGTACAACATTATTTCAGAATGCTCAAAAGAAATTAACATTACCACCATAACCATACACATTAAAGGTAAGCTTCATTCCTCTTAGTAAAACTGGCATCTTCTAAATGGATAACAAGGCTTGTCTGAGAGGATGAAGAAAGAATTTGTAGTGGTTGAAAAAAATATGAATACCACTATGCTTAAGGGTTAACACTCACTAAAATAAGCTTGATATTTTATAGTACATTTGTGCAGCGAATTCACCAATTTTCCCCTTTTTGTAGATATTCTGTAAGCACATTTTGCATTTTTTTCTGTATGCGCTACCTGATTATGCTGTAAAAGGATAAGAGATGCTCTGTCACGGAGTCTGACTAAGTGACGATGCTAAAAATGCCTAATATTTCCCCTTAGTTTGTGGATGTGGCTTTTTAGAAAATAGAGCATTGATGTGTTTAGAGATGGGGAATAATCCTGTGTATTTGTTTAACATTCTGCTATAATAGCTTGCTGTAGAATGTGCTTGGTCTTTCACTTGAGCTTGCAGAAAATAAATTTATTGAGCGTACTTGTTGTTTCTTGTAAAGGTCAACTACATGCAATTTGTGAAAACAGTAATTAAATCAGTTTTTAGAATGAGCTGCTTTACCTTCCATTCCTTTTAATGATTCATATTCAGGAGACCCATGAAATCCTGTAAAACAAAGATTGGCAGAAGTGGTATCTGGCCATAAATCTGAGGAAATCTCATAAGGGCCTATCTGTTCAGACTAAAGTTGTATACTTTTTTTTTTGTAAATAGGTCAGTGAGAGTTTCTTTAGTTTTACTTTTTTTTTCATTCCAAAGTTTGGCCATCTGTATCAAATTGGTTACATATATGATGGAGAAAAGGCTCATAACCATGGCCTAATTTCTGAATTTGTAACAGACAGTTGACAGGATATAATTCAAGGATAAAAATGCATATTTGATGACTTCCCAATATGGATATAAATATTTTTCAAAGTTCTAGGTGTTTGTCCTGCATTATTTCAGTCCAATCATACTTATTTTAGGCACATTGTATGAATTTTGCATCTAGTTCTTTAATTTATAATAATAAATTTGGCTGTTCTTTTTGTAGGATAGGGTTTGGGACAGTGGCTTAACTATTTGGATTCTGTCTAAATTATCTTGTATCTTGCTGCAGTTTATATTTTTTCAATGTTCCTTTCTCATATTTCAGAAATTTGAAAGTTGCCGCAATTGGTTCTAGCAGGCATTATTATTAGCAGTGGTTAATAGACAAAAGAAGATTCCAAAGCAAGTTTTAAAATGTCTGTAAACACAATTTGGTCATAAGAATTATTCAAAGACTCTGTCAGATATATATAATTAAAATAGTTTAACCATATCATGGTTCCAGGTTTTTTTATTTCATTTTCTTGAAGTCCATATATATGTACAATATGATGTGTTCAGTTCTTAATAAAAACCTTTGGTGTCAGTAAGACAAAAAATAACCCTGTGAAATTATACATGAAATAATAAAATTAATATAAGATTCTGCTGAGTGGTTATTATTTGGAGAGTTGTGTTATAACAACAATTGTAAAATTATCTTAGAAGTTGCCATTTTTCTTTAGATTTGGAGTTTAAAATTATTCTATTTCAATTTTAGAATCAAAGGCAATGCTGAAGAACAACACAGTTTTTACAAATTCTCAGAATAGGCTTCTGGTTTTGCTTACTATTATAAAACTTACTTCCATAAACTGTGTAAGTTTCCACATAAATTAATTGTAGATATAGATAAGTGGATATAACTGATTGTCAGATCAAACAATATTTCATAAACCAGCATTTAGCATATCTTGGATAGCAGTTCCCACCATCTCCAGTTTCCCTCCCCTCTCCTTTAATAATTTGTCAGATAGTTGCAAACATCAGAATACTTTGATCTTGCTGAAGGTATTGATCAATCCAAGACTGAGTATGTTTAAATTTTGTTTTAAGATAAACATTTATTACATATGCTTAGACACAAATATAGTTAGTATACTAAGACCAGACTAATGTTCTTTACACCTATTTTTCACCTGTTGTAATTGCTTCTAGAATTTTACAAACCAATCCCATTGATTCCTTTGTGGCAAGAAGCTTAAGATAATAATTTGTAATTCAATTCAAGAGCACAATAAATGTTTATCTTTTCATAATTAGGATACAACCATATATTTCTTGTGTGCACATACACATATATGCAGGGCTTTTTTTGTCACAGAACGCCCAGAACGGAGTTCCGGCACCTTTTTTGGATGGAACCTTGTAGGGTAGGCAAGGCGGATTGTATGATGTGTGTGAGTTCCGGCACTTTTTTTTTTTTTTTTTACAAAAAAAGCATTGCATATGTGTTTAAGTGAACTTATAAGGTAATAGCAATTCACAAGCATATCACAGAGGGCACCAGACTGGAGAAGTTAGTGATTATTACAAACTGGGAGTGTGGTGACTAAAATGAGTTTCTGGCTACAGATTTATTATCTCAGATTACAACACTGCAAGGAAAGGGGAAGAGACTTGATAGCACAAGCGGAAGAGGAAATGCAGGGGAAAAAATAGAAAAAAAATGATGCAATGGAAATTTTTTGTTTCATCTTCTGGAAATCATATGACTTGGTAAATATTCCAAAAATAATTTGAGAGTCAAGTACTGTGTTGACACAACTGAAGAAACTTGGGGAGCTAGGAAGAAAAGAGTTACAATAAATAATTTGAGAACTACTTTGTAAAATTATGAGAAAATCTTATGGGGGGGTAAAAGAAATCAGTAAAAAACCTAATACCCATTTGTAGGAATACAGAAAATGAATGTCCTCGGTGTGCTAACTGGGTCATCTAGAGTGACCATAACAGCAATTTTGAAAAGAATACTCCTATCAAATTGTAGAGGTAGATTCTAACCCAGCCTTCCCTTACCCTTCAGATATGTTGAAACTATAAAAGTGCTGTTTAAGAATTTTGCAAAATTTCAACACATCTGGCCGTAAAATTTTTAATACAGAGCAATTTAATGGCCCTGAACTGCAGTAACCAGAAATTTTCAGTTTTCATGTTCATACAAAAAACCCACTAATTATCAAATGCTGAATTTTAAGAACACATGGAAATTACCATCATACACTGCATAACGATGTCCCATTTACTTTCAGCACATTTTTGCCGAATGCTGTTCAGTGTCCCACTGGTTTTACCTGCCATCCCACATTCTATGTACGAGTTATAATAAAAGAGTCCTCTGTGGCACTCATACATTTTAACAAATTTAATTTGAAGTATTACAATTAAAGAGCATGACAAGAACTTTAAAATCAATTAATAATTTTCCAACTTGCATTAATCCATAGTGATTAATTTACTTTCAGCAAATATATTGTGTGAATTTAACAACTGTGGTTTATAAATCATGGTTTATGGTTCATAAATTTCAACTGGCTGTGAATGAGCCGTTTATAATTCATAAACCATTTTTAATAAGTTTATTACGGTCATAGACCAGCAATAGACATCACTTTTTACAATATATTAAGAAAAAAATAAAATAAAAATAGTACTGACATTAATAGTAAATAATAACATCCCGGTTAAGAAAATACATGTTCTCAAAATGTTAGGGTCACTCCCTAGTTTACGTGAGTGGAAAGCCGATAAGTGTGTCAGTAAATATAATGTTCCAAAAATTATTAGAGATATCTCCAAAAAATTGGCACAAATTGACGGCTATAAATTTGTAACCAATTCTTTTCTTGTGGACATTGCCGCAACACAGTATTTTGCCACTGCATGCGTGATAGAAAGGTTTGAGTCCTGGAGGAAAAAGCCTACATAAAAAGTGTCTGCCCTCCCTGGCAATCTCTCTAATAAGGGAAGAATATATGCTGACCTATCGCTTCTCGGCCTTTTGGCTAAAATCAAGTGTAATTCATAAACCATAATTTATTGTAATATTTGATCTCTGGAATTTGAAGCCTGTCTAATTTCATTTTTCTAAAGCAAAATTCATATTTATAAGGCTATGTAAATGACACACTAAGCAAAAGGTTAAAAAACATATATGCTGCCATTTTACTTATCATGCACTGCAGTGTCAAAAAAATTTGTGATTTGTACCTGAACCAGAAACCATCATTGAAGGTTTACAAAATGCATTTTGTAGTTGATAACGAACTTTTAGGAACTAAAATTCTGATTTTTGGAAATCACCAATTGCCATATCAGGCTTGATACACTTTGCGCCGGGTTCTGAGGAATTTCATCGCCCGATGAAACTGGTAATAAACCACAATGTTTGGTTGTGCAAAACCAACCAAAAATTCACTAGTTATTTACAATGGCATTTTACCCATGGTTAGCTTAACTATATATGTAAACAGGAACACATTTTATTTTTTTGGAACCACAATGCTTTCATATATGGAAAAAAGGAAAACAAACATGTTGCAAACAAAAAATCATTCAGCATAGTTTTTAAGCAAATAATTGAACCTTAAGTAAGTGAAATAATATCAGAATTTCCATTTCATCAATAAAAAAGCAAGCTCATGCAGAAAGTAAATATATCTGTGGGGTTAGATTGTAAATCTGAGGCTTTACTGTCTCCAGATTTGAACAGTGAACTTAACTGTTTTCTTTTGCTGGTCCCAAATCTATATATCAATTACAAATTTATATCATAGAAGTCATAGAATCCTAGGGCAGTGGTGGCGAACCTATGGCACGGGTGCCAGAGGCGGTACTCAGAGCCCTCTCTGTGGGCACGCGTGCCATCGTCCCAGTCCTCGGCCTTCAGCTGGGTTTTATAAAACCTTTTCACTTTAGACCTCCGGTGCCGTGTGCAAAAAAAAAAAAGGTTCAATCAATCAGTTTCAACTTTTCGCGGGAAAAAAAGGTCTTGCAAAGTTGGAATTGATTGATTGAACTTTTTAGTCCCAGTCTGCCATTACCACCACAGCCACACTCACCCAATGGGCCACACCCTTCCAATTGGCCACACCCAGCCAATGGGCCACACCCACCCGGCACCCAACGATGCATAAGTGGGTTTTGGGTTGCAGTTTGGGCACTCGGTCTCTAAAAGGTTCGCCATCACTGTCCTAGGGGCTGGAAGGGACTTTGGAGGTTTAATGCAATCCCCTGCTCAAGGCAGAAGACCTTGGTATATAATTCACAAATACATTCACATCCTTAAACTATATTGATCCTTGTACTACATTAACAAAAGTATGCATATCAAAGCAAAATGTGGCAAAAGTATGACAAGAACTTATCTTTTGAATAAGAGACACCTCACCCATTTTTACACTTAACAAATAGCGAGCCCTGTTCCATCTTCTGGGCTCACACGATACACTGGGCCATAGACAATACAGAGTGGGATTCCAGAACACAGAAAGTTAGTCTGTGGCTAACTGCGATATGTGAACACTTGATAATGGAAAAGTACAGCAGTTTTAAATTAAATGTGTAAAAGTAGCTTTTTTACACAAAGATCTAGTGAAAAGGGTCTGTACTGCCATCTGGAACCAGCCTTAAAATTCTGGCAGAACAGCACAAAATCCTGTCCTGTGTATTCTACAGAATGTACTATTAAAATCCAGAGCTGGACCGGAAGAATATAAATAGAAAATGTGGAATACAATTCCACTTTTTTCCAGGCCATCTCACTAATTTAATAAATTGTGGCTGTATCAGAAAGATTGGTTTAGCTAATTGCTTGTCTCTTAACTGGCCGGCACCAAGCGACAGGTTAACTGAATAATAACGGTTTGTTGAATTAAGCCAAACACTTGCGTTGTGTACCGCACCCCAACCCACCAACAAGCCATAAAGACTTAGTTCGATCATTCAGCTTCATGAGCCGTTCATGAAGAAAAAGAACCAGAAGCTGAGTTCCATCCCTCGTGACTCGGCATGCCTTAGTATAATGTATAACTTAGATTTTGCAAAGTGTTAACTTTTGAACTAGGTTAACACTTCTGCAAAGCTGACTCGCGTGAACTAAAAAGCCGAGATCTGCGCTCGGGAAACAGGGAACAAGCTTCTAGCGCAGGGGTAGTCAACCTTGGCTCTTTTATGACTCGTGGACTTCAACTCCCAGAATTCCTGAGCCAGCATGGCTGGCTCAGGAATTCTGGGAGTTGAAGTCCACGAGTCATAAAAGAGCCAAGGTTGACTACCCCTGTGAATCTAGCGTGTCAGCCGGCTCCGCCCCACCCCGCCCCTCCTTCGCTTCTCTTTTTCTTCCCCTAGCCGAGATGAGAGCTGTGTGGCCCATTCCAGCCGACGATTTGCGAGGAGTTGGTGGTTTGAGGGTGAAGGTGGTTTCCCACGATACACTTTGCGCCGGGTTCCGAGGAATCTCGTCGCCCGATGAAGCTGGTAAATGTCGCTTCGCAACCGATGGTGGGGGGGGGGGGGAAGGAGGGAGGAAAGCATTAGTGTAATATTGTAATCGAGCAAAGATCCCAAATTCCTGAACCGTTTAATGTCTAATTAAATTTCTAATTCCTCAGCAAAGCTGGCTGAGGAATTCTGGGAGTTGAAGTCCACAAGTCTTAAAGTGGCCACGGTTGGAGACCCCTGAAATAGAAGGTTTTGGCTTGGGGAGGTCTGTGAAAGCCGCAGTGGGCTTTTGAGGAAATACAGGCTTTTTTTTTTTTTTCCCTCCTTGTCTACTTGTGTTACTTTGCAAACTTCTTAAAGTGCGAAAGTCCAATTAGTTCTACTGAGCAAGTTACGGCAATGGTTTGATGACTTGGGAAGACAAAGGATGGGTTCGGGTTTAAGAGGCAGGAATTCATCAAACCTATTGATAGCAACATTGTGGTTTGCTGTTTTGAGTTATTTTTCTTACTATGGCCCCGTAATATTGTTCTTTTTCATTGTTTATTTTATTGTTCTATTATTTATTTAAGAAAATGTATATGGCCATCCACTCACTCTCAGTGACTGTAGGTGGCTTACAAAAATAAAAACCCAATATATAAACAATGAAAAACAATAACCCCCCTCAACCACCTCCCATGACAACAATCAATCAAACAAGCCACTTGATGGGCTCGATCCCACTCAGTTCCTCTCGGGCAAAACCAAGTTTTCAGGACCTTCTGAAAGAGTGTCAGACTGGGGCCCAATCTAATCTCCACAGGGATGATGTTCCAAAGGGAGGGAATCACTACAGAAAAAATGCCTTTTTCTGGATCCCACCAGATATACTTCTTAGAAGAGGGGACCTGCAATATTCCCTGCCTTCCCACTTTGGTGGGTTGGGTAGATGTGACTGGGAAAAGACACTCCTTCAGATAACCTGGTCTCAAGCTATGTAGGGCTTTGAAAGTGACAACCAAAACCTTGAATTGTACCTGGCAGCAGATTAGCAGCCAATGCAGCTTCCGCAGGAGAGATGACATTGTAAGATGTCAAGATGACAAGAAATTATCTTCTTTCTGTTTACATTCTTTTCACTTCTTCCTTTGTATTATTGTAATCTGCCTAGAGTAGTCCCACAGCAAGATAGGCAGCAGATAAATTTAACAAACAAACAAACATATCTACTGAAGATGCTCTATCTGGTGACATCATCCCAGCATGCTCGCTGGGGAATTCTGGAAATGGAAGTCCACCATTTTAAAGTTACTGAATTTGAGGAACACTGCTCTAAAGTGAAATTGAAATCTACAGACATACTCATTATATAAAGATACTGCTTCCCCCAAATTTTGTTTTTGCAACTATGTGGAAGTGGTTTGCCCTTGTTTTTTTCTGGGTTTTTTTCCATTCAGTACAAACAAAGTCTGATTCTATTTGTTTCTTTTTTCATAATCATTTAAGTAATATCATCTATAATGTCACCTATATTATATAAGTAATATTTGTAGTAATAATACTCAAGTTACGACTATATGTTCAAACTATTTAAAATTACGATAGTGCTAAATGAGGGAAACTTAACACTGACCGTGAAGTTGTGGCTATTGCAACATCACTGCAGTCACATGATCACAATCTGGATGCTTATGTAGTCATGGGATGGCCATTTGTGACCTTCCTTGCTGACTTCCCACAAGGAAAGTCAACAGGGAAACTGGGAGAGAAGCTTGCAAGTTGCTCCCGTAAGTCATTCCCATCATTTCCCCCCCCCCCAAGGAGTTCTGCTATGGAGTATGAGATCCTAGGGAATCTCATACTCTATTGAAACCCCCTGCCTGCCTGTGCCTTGTAATGGCCATGCCAGCCTTTCCATGTTTCATAGCATTTGCCCTCACCTCGCACCAATCTGTGCTTGGAAGTATCCACGTGTAGCCCAATTGCTGTCATAATCGAAGGACTACCTGTAATACAAATCAGAATGCTTATGAGATACATTGCAGGAACTTAGACTGACCATAACATGTTCTCGGATTCTCAGATAGAAGCAACAGCTCAGAATCTAGAATCTGGGTCCAACAGTCTGGAATCTGGAATCAAATGATTTCTACATCTCTGTCTGGCTGAGCTTCTTCCCGCTCAGTCCCTCGTAGCTGTAGAGTATCCACAACACCAAGTGGTATCATTTCAATTCTATGCCCAAATCTGAATCTTGACTGAAAGGGTTCTGGACAAATTGTCTTACACAGGGTCCTCTGAATTTGCTGGCCTACCACTTTCTTCAAGAAAGAAAAGGTTAGAGACAGGGTGGAAATTATCAAGGATTGCTCCTTGAGATGAGAGCGTGCTACAGCCTTTGTCAAAGATGAGGGTACCACTCCCATTTCAAAGAGACACTTTTTGGATCTAGCTCTTCATCTCCATTCCTCAAATGAGCCAGGAGGGATAAAGATCCAGCCCATATATTCACAGAGAATTCTTCTACATCATTGGAATCCATAAGATCAGATGAATTCCAGATCATAGCAGAAAACATTGGTGTCAGCTTATTGGACTCATTAGCCCTGAATGAATATGCATGATTTGTTCACCAAACACTTAGTAAAAAGATCTTAACAGTTTTCTGGAGTTTTTTCTTGCCCTCGTTCCTTAATAGGATCTGAAGCCTGTACTTTGAGTAACATACCACAGATACAAAAATGGAAAACATGTACTGATCCTTTGCTATCTTTCGCAGATTTTACTTAAAAGTCTTTCTAATGAAGATTAATATTTTTGCCAGTTCTCGTGATGTACAATCTATATCACACCAGCAAACTAAGGAGGTGTAAAAAAAGGAAAGTGCAAAGGAATTTAAAAGGATAAAAAATACAAAATACAAAAAAAATACACAAAAATCTAAAAAACCCAAAAAGGGACGGAGGTAAAAACAATGAAAATTAAAAACAACTTAGATCTAATAATACAATAGAACTAATACGAAACACTCATTAAAGCTGATTTGTGGGACAGATCTCATGTATTTTAAGTGCAACTGTGTAGACCTGGAAACATTGTATGTTGTAACACTGTTGGTCCAAAATTATCTGAATTTCATTTTTGTCAGATTGTTGAATTGTCCTTCCCTTGTTGAATTGTCCATCCAAACTTTGAGCAATAATGCATCTGTTATACATGAGACAAAACATATTTTCCGTTTTGCACTCCAGTTCTCATCAATCAGGACAAATCACCTGACAATATTGTAGTCTTTTCAATGGAAGAGTTTGAAGTGCTCTTATCAAGGTATTTGTGCTTAACCCAATTCTAGGGAAACAGAAAGTAAAGTGCTATGGGTCTTCTTGTCCAACATCCATTGTAACAAACATCCTGAAACATAAGGAATAATGGTTTTATATAGTCTTGCACACCGGGAAATTTTTATGAAACAATTTAATGAAACCAAATCTTTAGAAATAAAAAGAATTTAAAAATGAAGAAAGCACACATAATTCCAAATTAAATTCATACATTAGCTAATTAAATGAATTATGTGTTTCTGTTTGCATAAGAATCTGTTCAGATTTTATTTCAAAGAACTGAGCCTTCTCTTTTGATTATTAGGCAGATTATCTTTGCTCCTTCTCCTCTCCTTTTTAAGCATTAATCTCACAGTTTTATAAGATATGAAGGATTAGTGAAAAAAAGTCAACTTTCACTTTGACTCACATACAAAATCTGCCATCTCTGATGCCAGGAAATTGTTAAATTCTCTAGGAGCAAATGACAACTTCTTAATAGTTTCCTATAGTTGAATGATACAGCCAATTTGTCCTGATTGGTTAAGGGATTCAGCTAGAAACCAAGAGACTGTAAGACTGGCCCAGGGTCACCCAGCTGGTTTCATGTCTATGGCAGGACTAGAACTCACTGTCTCCCAGTTTCTAGCCTATAACCTTAACCACTACAAACTTTCAAATAATGGCTTCTTTCGTCAGTATCAGCAATAAGATTTATTAAAGCTTTATTATTATTTAGGGTAGCTTGCAATGTGTAGTTAAAGTGCATGTTTGACAAAGATAAGTTGACAGAAAAGATAGAAGAACTTTGAATGCCTTTGAAGGCATTTGTAAAATACCATTAAGGTTTGTTTGTTTTTTAAACTGTTTATTCCACAAAATAGACTTGAAGGAATATTCAAGATTTCATAACTCTGCACTCATCTTCTCTCTGGAAATAAGACTTCTTTGGTTTTCTCTTTTGCTTCTTAATGTTGTTTCCAATCTTGCCTTTGCAACCGTTTAATAACTTTTGTCCCATGTTCCTTGGCCTACATTCTTTTCAGGTTAACTCTGATAATAATATACTTCCTTATTTTCCGTTTGTTTTACAGACTGGAGGAATGAGGTTACTAACTCTTTACATCTAAGAGTTTGCCACAATGGGAAATAGTATTTCCAAAAGAATTTATCCCTGTTTTCTGAAGAACAGAATGGAGACTAAGTGTGCTAGTCAAAACAAACACCACTTTAACCAAAACTCTACATTAGAAAACTGTTACCATCCTAGCATCCAAGATGTAGACAGCAGTGATGAGGAGGCTGAAGATATGTTTTACAGGTTTGTGATTCTTCATGCTGAGGAGGATACAGAAGAAGCCATTAGAGTCCAAGACCTCTTACAAAATGAATATTGTATCAAACCAGGAATCATTTTTGCAGAAATGCCTAGTGGTAGACATTTGCTGGAAAATTTAACTGATGCCATTAACGATTCTGCCTGGATAATTATACTGCTGACAGAAAACTTCTTAAGAGACCTTTGGTGTGAATTCCAATCCTACACTTCTCTTTTGGGTGCGCTGACCATCCCACACAAACATAACAGTGTGATACCCATGCGGCCACGGAATAGACCACTCCCTTGGGAAAGGACTCCTTTCATCCTACAGTGTGTTAATGTTCTGCAAGAAGATAGTCCTGGATTTTCTGTTCAAGTAAAGAAAACTTTCCAAGAGGCTCGATATAGGCAGCAGGAAAAGGTGTGGCGGTACGGAAGAAAGAAAGAAGTGGCCCCAAAAATCCTTTAGTGGTAAAGGTAGAAAGCAACTTTTCCTAACCAGCTGCCTTTCAGAAAGGCTGGAGTTAGAATAGAGTGTTCACAACCAGCATACGCTGACCGGCAATGATGGGAAATACTAGCACATCTGAAAAACATTATCTGGAAAAACATTAGCATTACAAATGCATTTAAAAAAAAAGAAAAAAAAGAAAGTAATTTATTTGTTCAAAGATCCTGTGATACTCTGTCCCCATTTTGTTGATTTTGTTTTTGGATACTTAAGAGTTTGGGAGGTCCTCTTCAGATGAGCCTCCTGGAATAACTCTACCAAGAAAAGTTCTTGTTTTCCACCATTCTAGCTGTAAGCTTTAAAAGTCTTGAAGAGAGGGATCATAGGACCATGAATGGAGTACGCATTCTATTTGTAGGATATTCACTTTGAGGAATTTCAGGTGATAAGGATTAGAAAGACAACTATCTGAACCCTTGAGGAATCGCTACGAGACATGATGAAACGATGCTGACCTGATATTTTCTAAGAATTAAAAGCAGATTTAAAGAATAGTCATTGTTTGTGGTGTGAACGTTCATCCTATTTTTGTCTTTGGTAGATTTTTATGGATTTTAGTACTGTTTCAGAACATGGAAATATTTAACTATTTAACCAGACATCAGAAAGGGATTAAAGAAATGTACATTTTTGTTATCTAGTCCACACACTTTGCACTAAAACATAATGTGATTTACGTTATGAACCACTCAGTCTTATATAAATCATGATTTATGGCTTAAGTAGGATATGCAAACCTAGTTAATTACTATGTATCACTATATTTTTAATCCTTTTAAAATATAGTATCTGTCTTCCATCTTCAAATGCTGCTTAGCGGCACAGTCTCTCACATTCCCCTCATCCCAGTTGAGAATGTTAGTGTTCTTTTTATGCTGCTCTTTATTCAGTGTAATAATGTCATTTCCACATGGATCAAACTGACCTAGCAATTCCAAGATTTTTTTGTTGGAATAGCTGAAATACAAACTGCATTTTTGAAGGAACACAATGGAATTATAAAGCCTGTTCTGTGAAGTTTTGCCATATGGACAGATCCTTGTGTTCTGCAGAGCCTAGGTGTCAGGGAAAGCTTGCTGGCAATTCTTGTTTTTATTTATTAAATATTTTTGGTTAAGGATTTCTCATAACTAAAATGATCAAAGATTATTAATCTTTTTTTGTCATTTTAATGTAATTGTAAACTGCAATAAATTGCATTTGAGCAGAGTTGAATTGTAACTCATAGTAAATAACAAATTGGTGATTCAGTTTCTAAGTTATTGATACATCACAATGAAATTGGGCATTGATACTTGTACTGTGTTCATTTTCAGTCATACTAATTACATATTGACTGGATAGCATGACAATTAACTGGATATATAACTGACTCAAAAATTATATCCAGAAGTATTGTGTTGATTACAATTGAGAAACAGATTCAAATCCACTTTCAACTATGGAAGCCAATGGATGACTTCAGATCAATCATTCTTTCTCAACCCAACGTACCTCAAAAGGTCATTGTGGAATAAAATTAGATGATAATTATATGCTGCAAGAAGGAGAGCTACATGTGTCATCTTGAATTTTTTAAGGAATAGGAAGATACAATGTAACAAGTAATATAATATTGTTTTGTTGAATAAGCCATGATTGATAATATAGAAGACACAGGCATAAATTATAAGGCACAATTGCTGGGTTTACACTCACAAAATCAAACACAAATCATATTAGAACAGTCTGGTAATTTTTGCAGATAATGTTGCCATCTGAATTAAGGATCTTGCTCTTTTGGTTAATTTTGTGGTTCATAAAGTTTCCCCCTTTCTATATGCCTTGTACTAAGTTAAAGCATTAAATATATTTGTTTTTACATAACCTATAAATTTATTGCTGATTCTATTTATTAATTAAATTTATATGCTATCTCACTTTCCCAAGCCACATTGGGTAGCTTACAATATAATAAAAGCACAAATTAAAATTAAGAGGAATTTGATGAAACTAGGAACCTACTCCTTATCATGACTGACTTTGAAAAGATTCCTCAGACTTAGCAGAAAGCTGTGAAATGAATTCGCCCAGTCTGATTCCTTTTTCTTTTTCACAATAATTTTGCCAGGATAATTTTGAAAAGCAAATTTAATTTTAAATTATTTAAAAGCAAATTTATTTATTTATTTTTTTTAAAAACCAGCATCTGATGTTCTCTAAAACAAAAGAACTAATGGTATATCTTAAAATAATTCAGATTTGTTCCCAAAAAAAGTCAGTCTGGAGATGCAACTGGAATATGGGCCACAGATATTACCTTTGGGACATTGCTATTATCTTTGAGACATTGCTTGCTACATGTTCAACCAGCAATTTTTAAAAATTACCAGCATGTTGCAAAAGCTTTAAAAAAGTTTGAAAACCTTAAAATATATTGAAACAGCTCCATTCGTGAGTGCATATTATCTAACCTATGGAAGATGGAATGAAACTTTTATCTCCAGGCCAATCGCTAATGTTACATTCCCCTCTCCAATGCCCCTATGGCAAGCACATTTCAAAAAGAGGCCCATTTATGTAAAGTTCTATCCATGAAAGATATTCAGTCCTTTGGGAATCCTATTTGGGGTCAAGGGTACTATGATTAGGTACCCTGTTTTATTGGTTTCATGTAAACATCTAATCGTTTACCTTTTTTACTGCTATTCACAGGAGACAAACTATAGGGGGGGGGGGGAACTGAGCATAAAAGTTTGCTTTTCCATTATGTTGTGAGTGTTATTGTGCTACAGACCTTGGCTGAGGGGAAGACAGTGCAGTTAATAGTAGCCAACACTAGCTGGCAGAATCAGCAGGACAAGCTATTTTTACTCAGTTAGGCAGCAATGAATGCCTGACATACCATTAGGGTTGTCCGCTAGGATAAATTCCATTTTGCCCTGGTAGAAAGCCTTTTATGTCCTGACTGAAGCTAACACAGTCAAAAACATTTTCCTGTACTGATTGTTCTCAAGACAGGCAGAGTTTAACCTTTTAAATAGAGCAAAGGAAAGCTTCCTGTTGCACTGGAAGAGAACAAACACTGTAAATAGGAGACAGTCACAGTAATTCATAACAGGACATTTTAAGCAGCAGGAAAATGTTAACAAAGCTTGGAGAAATGGAAGCTGCATCTCTCACTTACTGGAAGCATATGGGACAGTTTCTGGCTGGGGAATTCTGGGAGTTAAAGTCCACAAGTCTTAAAGTTACGAAGGTTGGACACCCTTGTTGTAAAGGTAATAGCGTATGTAGATTTTCACCCGTCAGGGGATATGGGTGATATGCTACATCATAAAATATAACAGCTGGATTCACTCAATGCAGAAAAAATCAATTTGATCTGGCTAATTTTGACAGTGCATAAGATGCCTATAGCTTAGAGTTGTATGAACTGAATTATTTAGTTTGTAACTGTGCTTTACTACTTAATATGGTATATGAACATAACTACTGTGCTTTATTCACTAAATTCTGGTTGCCCTCATACAATCCATTAACCTGCATTTATACAATACACTGATTTAGAAATTGAATAGACTAAGCTTGCACAAGAAGCTATCTCCTCCCCCAACCAAGAAGAAAAACTGATCAAGTTTAACAGAATGTAGTTGTTAGTCTTGAACTAATGAATTCAGTCCATGAACAAATGGATCATGATTTATAAAAATCTCTCCCTTCGAAATATCCCTTCAGAAATAGACTACCTCCCTCTTTGACACTCTTTCATAAGGCCCGGAAGACTTGGTTTTGCCAGTGGGCCTGGGAAACCCAGAGTGGGATGCAACCATCAAATGGCTCATTTGACTTTGTGTTGTCACCGGGAGTGGGGGGTTACTGTATTTTTATTTTATTTTATTATTTTATTTTACTTTTATATACTGTGTCTTTACTGTTTTTAAGCCACCTAGAGTCATCGTGAATGAGTAGGCAGCCATAAAAATTTCCTAAACAAACAAATAACCCATTTGTCAAGATTCTCACAATATGCTAAGCCAGAGATGCAAAACCTCTGTAAGTTTGAGGGCCAGGTCAGTGCATTGCATGTTGAGAACTGCAATTCAGCAGTGGATAGATATTGAGCACATTTGGGGATAGAGTTTCAGGAGTGAGAGGACTATCTTAAACATCTGCAAATCTTCTGGATTCTAGTTTGTTTTTTTGACTAGGGCAGTGGTTCTCAACCTTTTTAATGCCGCGACCCCAACCAGTCGTAAGTCGAGGACTAAACCGGTCGTAAGTCGAGGACTAAACCGGTCGTAAGTCGAGGACTACCCAACCGGTCGTAAGTCGAGGACTTTCCCTGCCTGGGAGCACCGCGCATGCGTGGTTCCGCCCCCTGCGCCGGCCGAGGCGTAGCTGGCAAGTGGCAGAGACGGAGCAGGCTGACCGCCAGCTGGCCCAGCCCAAGGGAGGTAAGGCACCCGCCGGAAAAGGGGGAAAAAATGGCGGACAAAAAAATGGCGGACAAAAAAAATGGCGGACAGCCTTGCTTGGCGACCCCCATGAAATGGTCGATCGACCCCAAATGGGGTCCCGACCCACAGGTTGAGAACCACTGGACTAGGGCTATCAGATTTTGCTGCAAAACTCTGGGCAACCACATGAGGGCTACAAAACCTTTTCTGTGTCACTTTGCTGTCACTGAACTTTTGCTATCCAGATTTGGATGCCCTATCTTAACAACCTTATTTAAACTTTCCAAAACTGTAAAATGCAGCCTAAACTTTGGCTCCACCCACTGTCGCTGGCATAAAAAGGATGTTGGAGGACTCCACTTTTTGCAGCTTTCTAAGCCAGACTAAAACACCATATTGCAGCTAGCACAAGGACTTGTATTCAATATTACGAATACTTTCCAGTAGCTTCTAACCCAGGGGTGTCAAACTCAATTTCACTGAGGGCCGCATCAGCATTGCGGTTGCCCTGGGGGGAGGGTGTGTGTGTGTGGCCAGAGTGGGTGCAGCCTACTGGGTGGGCGTGGATGGAGTGGGTGTGGCCTACTGGGTGGGCATGGCCAGTTCTACATCATTCACATCAAGGGTGCCTATGGGGGCCTGGGCAGGAGTGGGACAGATCTGAG